AGGATTCGTCAGATGAGGAGGAGGAACCACACAGCCTCATGGTCACCCTGCGTTACCGGAAAGGCGCAACGGATGGCTCTGCTGCTCCCGATCAAGACGCACCCATGGCAAATGGCGTCGACCACGATGCGACAGCTGCGACACCAGGCGACACAGGCGCGCCCAAACAGCCCGAGATTGCGCCTGCCCCAGAAACCTTAGCTCCCACATCCGAGCCCAGTTCCACCATGAACGGGATCTCCCAACCTGTCGTCCCCGTTGCAAACCAACAGCTTCCCACAGGCAATCCAGAAGCACTCCCCAAACTCGATGGCTTCTTCTCAGCCCCAACACCACCCTACAGCGCCCCCGAGGAAGCACCAAAACACCAGACTCCCGTCGACGTCCCCACCAATTCTTATGAGGCACCTCCGCCACCGCAACATCCCACACCTGCTCCTACCGCCAGCTGGCAATAGATCTGCCTGCGCACTTAATCAAGCCGTTTTCTCATGCATGCTACACATCGTTTCCAAAATCCCCCGTGCGGCTGTCTTTGATTCAATTTTATACACGTTGTTCTTTTCTTGTCCTGTCCCTGTCATAGCTAGAGAAAGACAGATACCCATGGCGTTTTCCGTTTCTTTACCTCCTCTACCTGAAGATGGGAGGTGAGATTAAGGTGTTGTCTCTCGTTAGGTTAGCGTTGTGTTAGGTAAAGTCTGGGCCGAGATGTCTACAGTTATATCGGGTGTTGCTCATGAGTGGTAGATAATGGCACTTTTGCACAAAGAGAATGATAGCCTAGGTTGCTGGGATACAGATACTCGGTGTGTACTGAGGGGTTAGCAGATGAAGTTTAATGGATGCAACTTGTGTTGTCATTATGAGCAGCTGTGCGATTGTGTTGTGATGCGTCCCGTGAACCAGGTACATGCACAGTATCGTGAGCTTCATATTTAGCGAAGCTCACAATACTGTCAATGTACCTGGGCATACGTCTTGCTTCAGGCACATCAGGTCCAAATCTTTTTGATTAGGTATGGACCTGATGCGCCGAAAGCAAGACGTATGCTTTCGCTCCACAATGCCGCCGCCGCCGCTACTGGTGTCATATACATTCAGTCATGTCGTCGTACATATATGCATCCACTTCACGCTTCACCTCGGTAAAGCGCCCGGTATGGCTCCCGCAATGCCCGTCGTAGTCCGGCTCTGCAGTTTCGGTCTCCCCGACCCCTTGGGCCGGTCTCTCTGCTCACCGCGCCACCGCATGCCGTCTTCCCGGGTATTCCTACTCTGGCTACGAGAGTCTGTTGCGCTGGGTTTCCTAACCCCAGCTCTGATCTCCGCCTCTCGCATCTTCTGGCCTTCTGCTTCTATGCGCTCTTCTAGGGTGGCGTTTTCGGCGATGGGGCTGGGGATGAAGGATGTTGAGCCGGGAGCTGTGCCGTTTCCTTCCAGGACGGCGATTTCGTCGTCCTCGTCCTCTTCGTTCTCGCCGGCGGCTGCGTCGGCGTCTTCGGTGGCTCCGCCTCGTGTGTTGTGTTTGCGGGGCCAGAGTGAGGGGAGCACGATTTGCTGGAAGCGGGGTTCTACGGCTCGTTCGTCGAACCAGGCGTGGACGCGGGATTCGATAAGCTGGGCGATTTTGGGTACGTCTTGGAGGCGTGATCGCGAACCGACTAGGGAGCGCACGGAGAGGTCGAGGCGGTAGTCGTCTAGGAAAGTGAAAGCTAAAGTGGTGGGACGGTGTGGTGGGGCGCCTGATGAGGATGCTGGACGACTCGGCGAGGAACCTCGGTGTGTGTTTGATGTTGGCGATGGCATGGGCGCGGTGGTTGGTGGAGGCGAGGAGGAGGGTATAAATGACACGGCGAGGGTTCCTGAGAATCGGACAATGCTCACAGCGAGCGCGACTGGCAAGACTGCGGACATGGGTTTCGGCCAGTTCAGGTTCAGTGTCGTCTCTACGCCGATGGTAATGACATCGCTCAGATCAACGTCCATGCGCGCTTGCAGTCTCTCCTTCTCATCTGTATTGCCTGGCCCGTACCAGAATCCGTCTTCTGCTGGCATGACTCTGCAGTTGCTGAAGATGGGGAATTCATCCCCCAATGCTATCTCCGTCACCCTGATCTCGCCAATCCAGTCCGGCTTGCTGCCCGTGTTCAAGATGTCGGTGAGCGAAGTAAGGATTGCATCGTCCTGGCGTGCATCGGCTCTCAGCTGTGCGATTGTTTGCGCGATGAGCACATTGAACCAGTCTAAGCTCTCCGGTTGGTGTCCCTTTACGTTGTAATACGTCTTCGCGAGGATAGTCTGTATGCTTGGGCCTCCTCTGCTCTCCTCGCCTTTCCGTATTATGCTTCTCGATGGTTTATGCCGTAAGGAGAGAGACGTCGAGTTTGCGCGCGTTCTCAATTGCTTATACGACTGTTGGTGGGCCAAGGTTCGAGCTCGGCGGAGCGAGTTGAGATGTAATGCGCGGTCGTCGGCGGACGGTGGCTCTCCGAAGATGAAGAACTTTATGAAGCAGAACATCAAAATTGCAATCGAAAGCTGTCCAAGGAGGAATCCTTGTGTGAAGGAGAGTCTGTAGTAAGTTAGCGGGGTCTCTGCATAGGATGGGCAACTGTACGATGACGAGCCGCCCTGTGTGACGGGCAGCGCCACGGGTGTGGGCACTGCTTTGACCATAGTCGCGACTGGAGAGTTGCTACCGCGTTAACAATTGCATGTTGGGTGTGGATGGTGATTTCGAGCAAAGGCAGACAGACGTAATTGTGCATTGGGACCTTGGAAGGATGCCGACCTAGCCATATCGATAAGCCTCCTAATCACTCCACGCCCATCTCCGCAGCCCCGAGGTCTCCCCAGACTCAGCACCGCGACGAGGCACGACTCTACCTAGGATGCCCCTTCTCTCCAAGGTCGTCACCTTCAGGACCCCCACCAACCGCGCCGCTGCCATCAAGGCGAATAGAGTCATCCGATCCATCAAGAGCAGATACCGCGCCCAGGCCTTCCTGTTCCTCGCGTACCACTTCTTCCTCACGTCGCCTATGCACCTCGACATCTTCATCATGTTCTTCATTCTCGTCAGCAACTTCATGAACCGGCAACAGGCCTTTCCCAGCCAATTGGTCATCGAGGGACTCCGCTTTCTGGTCGACGAGAGGAGGTTCATCATGCCTTGAGTACTGATCATCCCAATCCTTACTTTCGACGCGACACGAAGATACATTGCGAATTGATCGCATACGCATATCAAGTGCGACGTGGCTTCGTTGCCCCTTCACCTGAACCAGACGGAGATAGCGGCAGTTGCAAGTCCGATTGGTTGCCAAGCTCCCCACCTCTGGACCAGTTCAAGATCGCATACCATTGTAGCGTCTTCAACCTCCTTATGGATTTCGATACCCAAAGTCAGAGCCTCTCGCCAGGCGCTGCAACCCACAACCCCAATCTCATCCTTCCAGCAACTTGCGACCCACCATCTGAACACAATCCGCCCAAGCGAGCAGTATGGATAGTAGGTCATCAAGCATGCTGCCTTGATCTCGATAGCTAACATCTTCCTGTAGGTCTTCGGAGCGACCGGTCACATGGGACGATCCCTCGTTCGAGCGATACTAGCGCACGGCGACCAATGCACCGCGGTGGGATGGACCGAAGAGAACACACCTGAACAGATGGATAAGTGGAAGAACAGAAACTGCTTGGGTTTACTATGCGATGTCAGAGTGCGCGAGACAGTGGATCAGGTCATCAGGAAGAGCATCGAATACTGGGGCCAGGTGGATGTGATAGCGAACAGCACCGGCTACGGCGTCATAGCAGCATGCGAGGACCAGGACGAGTACGACCTGCGCAATCAATTCACCACAAACTTTCTCGGAACCCTACACATCTTGCAACTCTCCCTCCCCTACTTTCGCTCACAAAACTCCGGTCGATACCTCATATTCTCATCCACGGCTGGAGCCCTCGGCGTGCCTGGCCTCGGCCCGTACTGTGCGACCAAGTACGCCGTGGAAGGGCTGATAGAGTCGATGTTGTACGAAGTCGATATATTCAACATCAAAGCAACACTGGTCGAGCCTGGACATGTTCGATTGGACGAGCCAGATGACAACATATTACCACCCAGCTATACTTCGATGCCCGTTCCAGGAACAGGTCCGCCGAAGCCGAAACGTTACGGTCATTTCTTCGTGAAACCGAACCCCAGCGAGCCCTACTCGGGACTGACAAGCCCCGCGCAACACGCGCGACGGATGGTACAGTGGCTGAACGACAGACAACCGGTGAGCGCTGTGAAGAGCGCAGAGTTGGTGTGGCAACTGGGTCATTGCAGCTATCCTCCGTTGCGCTTGATTCTGGGTAGCTACGCCGTGGAAAGTATTCGCGACAGATTGAAGAGCATCACTGAAGAGGTAGGCATTACTTTTCTTCTACTGTGCCTGTCATGTTAACACTTTACAGATCGAGGACTGGAAGCATCTTTCGTTCCCTGTTTCTATGCCTCCGGAAGAAGAAGATGGAAAGGATAATCTCAAAGAGGAGCAGGAGCAAGACGATGAGCAGATGCAGGACTGAATAGGAATGTCCGCTATTGGTGCAATTGACGCGCGGAATCCCCATGCTTGTACGCTTATACGATACCACAACTTCATATCTTATCGCTTAGACACAACGCGACAAACGACATATCGGTTTATTGAACGTTCACAGTATTACGACATGGTTATCCTTTTCATGGATATGCCGAAATAAACGAGAGTCAAACCTTTCTCGGCTTACAGTCATCGCAATTGGGTCAGCTCGCTTCGCATGCTGTGCCACCTTGATCTATATGCATAACGGATTTGAGAACACGCGATGCGAACTTGTTTGCTGCTTCTTTGTTGCACGAGGTTTGCTTGTTACTTGCTTACCGTGCTTTCTAGATGCATCTATTACTACATCTTGTCCCTTGCACCATCTAGAATCTTTCGATTCCACACCAGACTGCTGTCATGGACGACGAAATCCGACCAGCCTGGCAGTCCCCAACTTGCGCTCCCAATTCTCCAGGGATTGATCGAGATAGCTGGAAAACCGCTCCAGGCTCACCGAGAGAAGACTTCAGATTCAACATTGACGCTGTTACTGAGGATTGCGGAACATATTCCAGCGATATTAAGAAGTCGAGTAGAGAGCCATACGTGCCGAGGCAGGAGTTCAACAAAATTCTTGACTATGCCGAACATAATTCAGATATCAACGGCATCGACTGGAGACCTGGCTTCAAAAATCAGTTTCCATGGATCGGCTTTGCGGGACTCGTGGTCATCTTCGTGGCAACTGCTACGGCTGTGGTAATTCTGGTGTCCTCGCACAAGAAGCGCGTCAAGGACTGGCCGTTTACGAGGTAAGTCTGACAGATACACCTTGAATCGGGTCGCGACTGATGGAACAGTTTTCCTGCTCAGCCCAACGTTTTACTCAACATCGCGAACCAGATACAAAATCTAGGGCTAATCACTTTGGTCAGCCATGGACTGGCTATCGCATGGTGGAGAACAGCCTTGCGCGGTAGCTCTCTTCGTGTGTTACATAATAATCACGCATATTCTTACAGCTTTTATGCGATTGTCACTTCCGGTCGATACTTCAACCTGGTCGCCCTCGCCGCACTCATGACCAAATTTGCTGTTGTCGATAGTACCCTCTTCCAGAAAGCGACGAGGACGATCGTAACTCAGCAAAAGGAGTACGCCAATTCCACCATGACTGGATGGGTTGAGAGAGACTGGCCTGCGAATTTTGGCGGGATTCCGGGAGCAGATGGTCATATCAAGACTGTGGATGCGGCATGGGCCAGCGTCTTGGATGCATACAACGGCAAGCTCGCCAATAGCAAGGTGCACGATTCCCTCAATGACACGGCATCTTTCTTCGATTGTCCCTATAGACAGGAATGCAGTGGTGCTATCGAAGGCTTGGGCTTTGCTTTCGATTGCACCACCGAATACGAAAATGTTGACTATGGGCTACGACAATGGGAGGGATCTGAACATTCCGGAATACCTTACCCGTTGTGGGATGTCAAATTTAGACCATCATGGGCAAACGAAACCAAGACATACGCCAGTATCGAACTCAAGATGCGGTATGTCGACAGCCACGCCGGGAAGGACGAGCATTCCTGTCCAGGGACTATGAATATCCGCACATGCGAGATTAGGCCCGCAGTCGTTCGGTACCCCGTTACGGTCATGGTACCAAGTAAAGAAGAACTAGATGGCGGAAATATCGTTACACATATCAAGTTCTTCAATGACGACCGGTTCTGGAGAACCGGTACTAACTTGAACGATATCACCCAAATCGACGACTTGAAGGTACTGAATACCGCCAAGCTCAACGAGTACTTCAACGAGACCTCTACTGTCGGAGCCCTGGCCTACATCATGAACAACCTCTATGAATCCTCCGCAAATATCAGCCACGGCTCCACCTGGGATATCGTCGCGCGCGGCGCTTCAGCTCAATCCATCTTCTACGCCGAATCAGATGAATCAGAGGACCGCTGCTGGTACAATATTAAGAAACCCGGTCGAGATGATCCTACCATCGAGCTCTTGCGCAAACTAAATACCTTGAGTTTCGTAACCGCTCTGTACATCAAAGGCGCGCCCACAACCGATAGAGACAAACGCAAAGCCCTCGGTATGACCAGCCAAAACATCACCACATCAATCACCGGCATCGTAGAAGAATACCTCACCTCCTCCGCCTACGTCTACGGCGCCCTCGCAGCAACCTTCATCACCGTCATACTCGTCCTACCCGTCTACTGGGGTTTCTGGCAACTCGGCCGTAAAGTCACCTTGGGTCCACTTGAGATCTCACAAGCCTTCGGCGCGCCCATCATCGCGCCCGACAAGATGAAAGCGTATCACGGCGACTTCGATCAGGTGCTTGAGGATGTTGGGGATAGGAGAGTGCAGTATGGGCAGCTCAGGAATGCGCCGCCGGGGCAGATGGGGCTTGCGGAGCCGGAGAAGGTGGTGGTACCTAAGGCTAGTCATCGGTGGCGGGTTAGTGGACAGAGGGAGAACAGGAGGATTGGGCTGGGTGCGGTCTTTGGAGGTGCAGTTGCTTCTACCATGTCGGGGAATGCGAGGGATTGAGTGTGGTTTAACGGGATGTTGTGGGTAATACAAGTGCGATGCAACGGCGAGTCTATGCAGTCGTCCGGAGCACAGTACGCGGTAATCAACGGATAACAACTTAATGCATAATATGCAAAGGCGAATGCAGTAGGATAAAGATGCAAGTGCAAAAAGACTTCCTCCAGTCTCGCAGACCTCAAGTGTTTATCATGTCGTCTGCCACGCTTCGCATCCTGCTGCTAGCCTCGCTTATGGCCACGCCTCAACCACCGGCTCAAAAACATGCTCCATCCACCATGTTGCTACGACGTGTAAGATGGCAAAAAGAAACGCGTGTAATGCATCGGCCGGGAATCGAACCCGGGGCTAGCCGAAACTGTCCTGTGAAGGATGGCAACGGCTAATTTTACCACTAAACCACCGATGCGTGAATCATTGAGATGGATGATTGATGGAAAGATGACAAAATGGTTATAATCTATTCCAAACATTAGCCGGAGGAGAACAGCGAGCAATACAACAGGCTCTGAATCGATAGGCTGGGTGCGGTATAGCTTGATGCACGAGTCGAGGGTGATCCACCAACGATATGGGTCTCCACTAACGGCGTCTAGAAGATGGCGTGTTCGTCTTCTCAATCACGTACTGACAATCAGTGGATAGAGAAGTCTAGCAAGTACTTTGTTACTGAGCATTGATTCATCCAGCAAACACCTTCCTGGATTCAAAGACTGACGTGTCTTGCAAAAGCTGTCAATGTGTTTGCAATACTAAACAGGGAATTCTAACTGCAAGGCTTCGCATTCTGCCTGATGTCGCGACACTTTCATTGCTTCATACCTAGGTAGCAATTGGAACGGCAGACTATTCGGCAACATGACTCCTCGCGGCAATCGTACACGGAGTAAGAACGAAGCTGGAGAGCCCTTTCCAATCTTGCTATCGTGCCAAGCCGGTGCGTTACTGTTGTACCTACCTAGGTGGGTAGTGCATAGATCTCGTACTACATCGCGGAACAAAGCTTGGTATCCGTTTCCTCAGCGTGCTCCAGATCGTCGACTTACATAACACGACCACCGATATACCCAGACCCAGTGCCTTTATCGCTGCTGCGCAATGTTCCGTCCTGTGGTAGCCCAAGCCAGACCAGTCCTGGAGTAATCCGACCCACAGCGGAGGTAATTCCGGTGGAGGATTCGACTTCTTCACACGCGACATTCCGCGAAGAACAGCACAGTAGCACTGTCTTCCTGGTACATATCCTGGAGTAGCAGGGGCTGGGATAGATAACGCTTCTGTATCTGTGTGTCGCTCGACAGAGCGTGCAGGTCATCAACATCTCGCGCTAACCGAACTTGGAAGGTACATGCGATGTTCCGCCAGAGGGCATGACGGCGGTACTGCTTCGCGTGTTCGAACGTATCACCATGGTCTATCATCTCATATCCCCGCTTCTACGCTTAGAGATACGGGCTCGGCAGGATGTGTACGTCTGTAGATAAATTGGATCATGTCCGTCCAGACTGAACGACTTCTCTTCCACTCCATCTACGCCACACCAGCTCCGGGTGAAGACAACATCATACCGCCTTCCTTCCTTCAAGCATACACTACACCATGGCACCTCATCCCTTCAGCATCCTCAACATAGAGGAGACACGCGTTGCGCGTGACACCGTCCTCTCCCTCCACAAAGACTGCGTTGTCGACTTTCGAGAGATCTTCCTCCAAGAACCAGCAAAGGAGCTCATGAAACAGTACCTTGAGCTCGAATATGCAGCAAAGCCAGGACAGTCACCAGCTTCCAAGCGACCACCGCGGTTGGCAAAGTGCCAGTACGACGTCATCGGCTCAGACAAGATACCAGAGTACCACGAGTCTGTTATTGATGTGGAGCAGAGGAAGAGAGTACGGCATGAGATTGTGGGAAAGGAGAAGCAGGCTGCGTTGACGTTGTGGGAGTTCCAACACCTCGTTAAAGCGTGCGAGGAGAGTGATATGTTCAAGGAAGCCATGGCTGAGATTAAGCTGCCTGATGGGTTTGAGTTGGTCGTTGAGCCTTGGTAGGTACCCATGTCGACTTCAGTAGACCACGTTACTAACGACCATAGGCCATATGGTGGTCTTGATATTGGTGCTGAGAACCGAAGATACTTTCAAGGTCTATGTTTCGCCCAGGACATGAGGAACGGAAACGCCGACTCAAACTTCTACGCCTACCCCTTACCGCTGATTCCTGTCATGGATGCACAAACCAGGAAGATCATCCGCGTTGATCGTCTAGCCACTGGTGGCAAGGGCGATAGCCTCACAGGCCAGACACACTCCGAGCGCGTTCTGGACCACTGTGAGGGTGCAGAATACGTTCCTGAACTACTGCAAGGTGGTCTTCGACAAGACGTCAAGCCCATCAACATCACACAGCCAGAGGGACCTTCCTTCAGCGTCACAGACGAGTCGCTGGTTGAGTGGCAGAAGTGGAGCTTCAGGGTCTCGTTCAACCCTCGTGAAGGAGCCGTGCTACACGACGTCAAGTACGACGGCAGGAGTATCATGTACCGGATGAGCATCTCAGAGATGTCGGTCCCGTATGCTGATGCTCGTCCACCATTCCACCGCAAGCAAGCTTTCGACTTCGGTGACGGAGGCGCTGGCAACTGTGCCAACAACCTTTCCTTGGGCTGTGACTGCCTCGGTGTGATCAAGTACTTCGACGCCGTCGTTGTTGGTAACGATGGCGAACCAAAGGTCCATCCCAACGTCGTCTGTCTTCACGAACAAGACAACGGTATTGGGTGGAAGCACAGTACGTATCTCCACTCCAACTTCTCAACCCAAACTAACCCATCAAACCAGCCAACTGGCGAACCGGCCGCGCAGTAGTCACCCGACTACGCGAACTCGTCATCCAGTTCATCATCACCCTCGCAAACTACGAATACGTCTTCGCCTACAAGCTCGACACCGCCGGCGGCATAACCCTCGAAGTCCGCGCCACGGGCATCGTCTCCGTCGTAAACATCGACCCAGGCAAGACGTCCGACTACGGAAACGTAGTCTCCGGCGGCGTCCTCGCGCAAAACCACCAACACATCTTCGCAGCTCGTACGTCGTCTCCTCAATCTCTCCTAACACAACAAGAATCACTTACCTAACCACCCACCCACCAACAGGTTTCGACCCCGCAATCGACGGCCACAAAAACACCGTCGTATACGAAGAATCGCACTCCACCCCCATCAACGCAACCACAAACCCCGCCGGCAACTTCTACGAGATCCGCAAGACCGTCATTGACAAATCCGGCGGCGTAGACGCAAACCCCTTCGACCACCGCGTCTTCAAGATAATAAACCCGTCCAAGACGAACCCTAAATCAGGGAACCCCGTTGGCTACAAATTCGCACCGCTGCCCACGCAGAAGATACTCGCTGCGCCGGGTAGCATACAAGCGCAGCGCGCGCTGTTCACGAACCACCACGTCTGGGTGACCAAGTACCAGGACGACGAGCTGTATGCTGCAGGACGGTTCACGATGCAGAGTCAGTTGGAGGAGGGGGGTGTGCACGATATGGCGGCACGTAAAGACGGGGTTGAGAATGAGGATTTGGTGGTGTGGAATGTTTTCGGACTGACGCACAACCCGCGCGTGGAGGATTGGCCTGTTATGCCGGTGGAAATTTACCAGGTGCATTTCAAGCCGAGTGATTTCTTTGAGAGGAACCCGGCGATTGATGTGCCGAGTACGAAGAATCAGGCTAGTGTGTTGGTGGAGAAGGAGAAGGGGTGTTGTGGTGGGGAGCAGAAGCTCTAGTGGTGCTGAGGGGGGTTTTGTTACTTGTTAGTTGGATGTATGAAGCATATTCAATGTATACTGCACTCTTGCATCATTGCCTTGATGGTTGCGAAAAGGTAAAGCGTAGTTCATGCTATACTATACTACGATGCGCTGCATCTTTCAAAAGACTAAACCAATCTGATAGTCATCCAATCGTCAAGCAGTGGTATACCAAACGCCAATATACTCCAAAGTCATGTATGTTTTGTACACGGGTATTTACACGCCCCAAGCGCCAGCGACGGCATTGAGAGCACCGTCAACAGCCTCCTCCAGGGTCTCGACCCTCAGTCTGAGCGAGCGGTTCTCCTCTCGCTCCTTTGCCAGACGACCCCAGACGGCGGATTGTGCACCGCCCTGGCAATTCGCGCATCCCCATCCGCCTTTCGCGATGTCGACTTTGCCCTCCTGCCTCTGCTCGTATGTGCTTCCGCGTTTCAAGGGTTGCGGCTTGCGTCCCTTGGGTGTGATGTCGTGGATGTCGGTGTCGAGGATGGAGGAGCGGTCGGTACCGGTGGGGCTGAGGCAGCTTCTTGAGAAGACGCTCGCGGCATCGGTCTCGGCTTCAGACTCGAAGCCGGAATCGACGCTGATCTCCGAGCCGGACACGCGGTTGTGGCGGCGGGCGTTCTCCTGGCATGGAGCGTGATCGCACTGTGGTGCGCCTCTGATGAGGGCTAGACTCCTCTTACGAGCCGCCTCTTCCTCTTGACGAGCCTTTCGCTCAAACGCAAGATCCTCCATGAGGCTTCGCATCTGCTCGTCTTGCTCAGCTGCCTTTGCTGCCATTGTCTCCAGCTGCATCTTCAAATGCCTTGCTCGTGTCTCAGCCTCGTCCAGCTCGTCATCCTGCGCACTTTGTTCGGCATGTGCATCTCCCAACGCGGTAGAGAGTTGGCGGTATGCAGTCTGGTAGCGAGAGAGGAGCGCTTCGGCGTTGGTGAGGAGGTCGTGGAAGGACGAGGGCGCCAGTGGATCGGCAGGTCCGTGTGGGAAGAGCGACTGCGAGATGCTCAAATTGAGGAGCTCATCGTCGGGGTTGTGGTATGTGGGAGACTGCTGCGGAGGGGGTACAGCGGCGTTCTTCTGTGTGGACAGCAGCCACGCGAACTTGCTGCTAGTAGTGGGCTGGCTCGGGGCCTTGCTCGGTGTCTGGGTGTCGTCTGATCGTCTCGGGCTC